ACAGATAAATGCACACAAAAGCGCACTGGATAACAGTAGTGTAAGCAGACGAAGAAGAAATGACAACTTAATGTTAGTATCGCTGTTTTGCACTATGCCAACACGATCGCATTCAAAATCGTCTCCAGAAGATGGGTCTGTTCCTCAGTCAACTTCACTAGGTCAGCATTATGAGTTTCAGCCAGCTGTCCAATGCCCCGTGACAGAACCACCAATCCGAATTCATCCAGCTTCAATAATCTTAAGGAAAAGACCGAATCCAGCAATCAGTCAATCACTCAATCAATCCGTCGATCAATCAACACGTTGATCAAACAGTCAATCGGTCGATGTGTCAATCAGTACGACAGTCAGTCAACACAACACACACATGTCATGCGAATAGGTTTTTTATACATCCTTCAAGTTTATATCGAACTCATGACATCTTTGTCGGATTCCTTAGCAATCACTTTCGGCGTGGACTTTTCTTGTGACTCATTATTCCACTTTGGAATTACTGATAATTTGGAGCGAATCATTTTGGAATAAATAAGTCGTGACATAGTTATGTTTCGGATGAATTCATATCCAATGTTGTTTTTCCTCATAATGCAGCTACTACGTGTGACGCTTTCTCGTATGCTTGCATATAAACAACGCATGACTGAAGGAAATAATTCAAATAGAGGAGGCTGGTACGTGTGATCTCGACAAGATGCGCTGCACTAGACGAGGAGCTACTGCACACAGTAAAAATAGACTCAAGGTTGCACAGACACAAATAGCAATGGTTTAAGACAGATGTAATCAGCACAGAAAAAGCATCAAAGAAATAATAGTCGCGAGAAAAGTAAAAGCATGTTGAAAAAATGAACGAACGAAGGGGAAAAATACAATAAAACATAACACATGATAATAGTCCTTAAACTAGTGCTGGAAGTTACCATTCCTTCAGAGTTCGGCGCATATGACAGCCAGTAGGTCAGTTAGTTCAATGGTCTGTCACCAACTAAATAAATAAACAAATCAATCAAGCAACCAACAGACACTGCACAATAGCACATCTCGTGTGAGCGTATGTAGGAAAAGATATGCACAGCACTTGATGTTATGCAACATAATGTGAACCTACCGAAAGCAACTCCAGTAGTAGTTGATGACGGGCTGGTCATCAGCACAGTCGATCTTGCAGTCATCGTCTCCATCGACGTGGTCCTGATCGGCTGCCTCGATTCTGTCGACACACTTGTTTCTGTTTGTCCGAGACCGTCAGTCGACGTCACAGTGCTTGTTCGTGGACCTGTTGAGTTAAACGGAAAACACATGTAGTTGTATTCATCGTTCAGAAATATCTTCCTGTCAGCTTCCATACAGGACTACGTTGGTTGATATTTCGACCATCTAATTATTATTATTATTATTATAATTATTATTATTCTACTAACAAGATGTTGTTTGTCCGACTCAACAGAACATCAACTCATGCACAACAACACTTCGAATTGCATAGTCTACACGTTTAGTTGAGATAGAGAAGACTGAGTCTTCATTGCAGCTCTAAATTCCGGACAGAATTGAAAACTTAAAATAAGACAACTACCTTTATATAGTGACACTCAGTGACCATAGCACGCATTGCGAAAATGACAACCACAATTCAGGCAGTAGCAAATGTCATTGAAGTGGTGTGAATTCGAAGAATCTTATCTGGGTTATCCTTCAATCGATAAACTGACATGCAATAACAAACACCCATACATACTCATCTCTCCTTAACACACCGATTCACTCTTCACAATTTACAAAACCTGCACAAATCAATGCTACACAACACGGTCACATCACAGAAATGCTACACCGTACATTGTAAACAACAAACAATCGACATCATCAACATTACCACGATGCATGTGACCTGTGAAAGAAAACTGGAGAGACTCACACCTCCCTATCCATCAGTAAGTCAGTCACTAGCTCCACGTATACGTTTTCCATGGTGTATTGATCTCTCTGCTGGATGCTTCCACTACGGGTGTGCACATCCAACATTGGGAACAATCGGCTGATAAACAATACTGTCACTGTTCTCCTATCTCAATGGCGACACACTCAGTGTCTCGCCTAACTATCATCTCATCTCATCTCACATCACATCATATCATATCATATCATATGAAAACATATCATTGGCAAAATGGGCAACAACAATTGACGACTTACGATATGCTGTGATGTTTCTCAAACTTGGTCCACTCTTGATATTCAGGAGTGTGCATCCACGAACCAGAGTCTCCGTGAGATCAGTCTCAGTTGGTTGTGATCCACGAGACAAATGCAACTGCACACTCGCAATTGCTCGAACAGCTTCCATTGAGACACGATTGACACCCGCGTCTGTGTGAGCTTGGCCAACACCGTCAATCCAGATCATGATCCGAATGAAGACAACACGGACACAAGTAGCACCTCGAGAGAACTCTTCATTACCCAGACGTAGTCCGCTCAATAGCTGCAACGTGCAAAACAAAATCACACAGAATACACAATCAGTCGATTAGTCAGTCTCTCGATCCGTCGTTCGCTTGCTCATATATCAACACCACAACTACAATTTTCAATTAGACCGGTGTCGACCAGTGCTCACCATCGCTATCATCATTATAATGACCAAGTGCATGACCACCACTTCACAAATGGACAATCACTTACAATCACTGGCTTACTCATTCAACTAACCGACGCTCACACTACCAATGTGAACACCACTCAATACACCAATTCATCACTACTCGCTTCAATCTCACACTCACATGACCACTAACTCATTACCTGCTCACCTACTTACTCACCACCTACTACTAACTTCTTACCTACTCACTAACTCATTGCCTTCTCACAAACGTCCGTTCTCACACACACACACACACACACACACACACACACTTCCACGCCTACTTACTAGCTCAGTCTGTACATTACACATTCATCAATTTGATTCAAACGATGCCCCTCTCTCTCTCTCTCTCTCTCTCGGAGATCTTCACTCCTGTCATTTCACAGAACCATTAGTCCACTACACTGGTGTCATTCGAACAATCCACACACTGCTTCTCTGATTATTGCATACCAGTACACTAAGAACACAATAACCATAACCAATGCACACCTACCAGGTCACAAATCGACATCGACAAATTTCTGTACATGACACTTGACTCATTCGACAGATCAGTTGACCAATTCATGGGCACTGACCGTTCTTCAATGTAGATCACAATATCCACCTCGAACACGGAGATCTCTACAAATGGAAAGGAGTGAAACATTTCATATCGATGAAAGTAATCATATTAATATTCATGTCATGAATACTACTACCACTACTACCATTATTAATATTATTATAATAATCATTATTATTATTGTAAATATTATGATTATTATTTTTGTTAGTAGTGGTATTATTGTCATTGTTAGTAATTTTATTAGTAATATTATCATCACACTTGTCATTAGCTCTACTATCAGAGTGTTATTAGCATTTACGTCAACAACGATGATAATAGTGCAACAAACTGTACCAACACCTGCATAACGATGTTGATAATCCTGAACATGATGAAGACGATTAGGGGGAAGGATTTAATCACCGAATCGATGTTGGAGCTGATGGTTGTTAGTATAATCTTGACAAATGTTTTCATTTTACTGGTTTTCTACCACTCGTCACAGTTCGCTCAAAATTGTAATTAAATGACAGATAAATGCACACAAAAACGCACTGGATAACAGTAGTGTAAGCAGACGAAGAAGAAATGACAACTTAATGTTAGTATCGCTGTTTTGCACTATGCCAACACGATCGCATTCAAAATCGTCTCCAGAAGATGGGTCTGTTCCTCAGTCAACTTCACTAGGTCAGCATTATGAGTTTCAGCCAGCTGTCCAATGCCCCGTGACAGAACCACCAATCCGAATTCATCCAGCTTCAATAATCTTAAGGAAAAGACCGAATCCAGCAATCAGTCAATCACTCAATCAATCCGTCCTTTAATCAGCAGATTGGTCTCTACCTTCTTCAAATTCACTAGGTCAGTATTTTCTGTTAGATCATTTATATGTATATGTATATAGTGAATATATCAAATGCGTTCATGAATTTTGAATTTGTATCAATAATTCATTGCTTGATCCGAGGCATGTTGAATGAAATTAATTCAAATGTATGTGATGTGTAAGTTAATACTGCCCGTACACTTACATAGAAACAGTGAGGGTTGAATGGTGAATAATTAACAATTTAAAATTGTATCTTTTTGAGAATGGATAGGTTGGTTTGTCCTGAAGTTAGAATAAGCTATGTGGGCTCGACATATAACCAGGCACTAAATAGTCCGTGTCATTACGAAGGTTTGACTTGATAATCTCAAATAAATTGAGCATTAGGTAGATGGTTTTTAATATCCCAATCAGTAGAAAAATCAAGTTTTTTAAATTTTCCGACGTTTCGTGACTCAGTGTAAGCCACCTCTTCAGAGAAGAAATAAACAAATTGAATCAATCCAAATTTAAATAATGCCTTCTATAGATAGATACATTCATTATATTTAGTCTTAAAGTAGAAGTCTTTCTTTCATTTCACAATAAATGAATTGGTCTATTCTATTAAATTACGTCCACAATTATTCTCTGTATTATTACAGTTTACAAGAAATCTTGGTATGTCATGGTATTAGCTAGCTCATTTGCTTATCTTATATCGATTGTCTCTTTCATACTTCATCGTTCCGTCATTCCAGCTGTTATTACAATTACTTTCTGTTTGTAATTCTATTCCCTTCAATTCGATCTTCTCAACCATCTACTGTCAGGAATTCGACTTCTGATTCGTGTGACATACTATTTATTTCTTCTAACATAAGTAGTATACATCAAACTATTATAATTTATGAACAAAATTATAACCAATATAATAAAGAATAAACTCAAACTTATTCATAGATTATTTTTTGTTGTTGTCATAATCTACCTTCTAAATTGTCTAATGTAGTATCAGTTGTTGGTTTTATCATAGGTAACGTAGTTGTTTGATTGATTTTCATCTTTTCTGTAATAGTCATTATTGGTAATGTTTGAGTGGTTTTAAGATCAGTTGATATACCTAAAATATAAATTGAATTGTATAATCTAATTAGTAAAACAAAAACCGAATTCATCTGTATAAACTGAACAATTTCTCATTTCTACTTGAAGTAATCCACAGTAAATTTATCAAGAAAGAATTACTTTAGATAAGAAATGTATTGGAAATATATTCTATTCAGTTAGGTTACTCGGATAGATTGAATTGTGGTTAGTAACATACAATCTATCATGTTAAAACTTTAAGCATAGCTAGTTATCACCTGGTTTACTCACCAAACGAAATACCACTTATTCAATCTTAACACTGTGCCAAACCAATGACGTTCGAACAGTATGAGCAGCCTAGCGTCTTATTGGTCCTTTTTCGGTCTAGCCCGTCCAGTTGAATCCAGAACACCAACAGCTTTCACTATGCAAATAATTTATTTCAAACATACTTGGTTTATATACCAACCAAACGGACTGCATCACACCATAAAGTAGGAAATATCAAGTAGCTGTGAACGTTGGAGACATTAATTAGTGAACTGAACATAACTTAAGAACAATCAGTCGTGCAATAATAATCCATAGGTCAAAATGAAGCTTATAATAAGAGGAATATAAATATACAAAATCCAGTTACTCAACAATAATACAATAGGAATATATATATCATATTAGTCTATTAATAGTTCTCGGAATTTACCCGTAGTTTAATCATCACTAGGATCCAACATACCAGTGTACTAAAAAATTCACTGCAACTGTTACACTTAAGTTACTATAGATAGTTTGTTTGAATTGACGAATATCATTGTTTACATCATGGACAAGTCTTAAACGAACACTGGGAATCAGGAAGCGGTGAACAAGGTTCTTGTTATAGTATAGAATTTCGTTTTCAACAGTGCCTATATACAATGTCATGAAGAATCAAACTTGATACGTTATGATCTCACGATGAGTATTTATTATTGTTTCATATCTGAGTTGGCATCTTACATATTTAGCCTCAATCAGTTCTAGATATCATGCAATCATTTTTAATGCCTAAAGTGACTAACTGCTTTATAACGAACATGGTACTTGATCTGATTAATTTTTGCTTTGAGAGAATAGAAGTGCGCACATCATGTAAACATTCACATTGAAATGACTGTCTACTGCATTTTCTAAACTTTATTTACATGCAGGAAACTAGGTTTAACCTTCAAGATGTCTATTTCAAGAAATAATATGACTTTTGTAATACCATTCCACCAAGATTTAGTGATATGCTTGCTGCAAACTATATGAATCTTTCTAAAACTAGCCAAGTATTCACAATTGATTGATCATGGCGTAATGATAAAAGTTTCACATGTTTCAAGGCGTTCTTATTGCAGATCGAATCCTATCGACCAAGTTGCAATGTGGCAACTAGTCAATAGTGAATATACCTCAGTCGTACAGGAGGTCAGTCGCGACCCGAACATCTCAGTCGTAACGTCTCTGACTGTGAAGCTTGTTGAAACAGGATCGGATGTGTCATCGAGCTGACGAGTGCCAAATAGCACGAAACCCGAGTTCAGGGTTTCCTGTTGACTACCTCCAACTACCATCTTACTAGTCAACTGCACTCATTAACAAAATCATATTCAAACATTATTCTAAACTGTAATTCATAAAACTGTATAAATTAAAATCTTACTTGAAAATTGTATATCAATTAAAATGAACTGTGATATGATTGTTAAGTGCTTCCATCCTTCATTTAAAATCTCTGTCATCCTATTGTCTGGAATTGGTAATGGTAGTAGTAATTTCGCTTCTAATGTAATTGTCACTGAGATCTGACTACTAATATTATAGGTTACGGTGGAATTTCGAAGATTAGTGGTATTATTATTACTACTATTATTATTATTATCATGCATACTTTGCATTGTTATAGGAATTTTTGTGAATTTAATGTTAAGAATCTTGAGAGATAAAGCAAATTGTAAATCTAATATTTCCATTACATTGTTGATCTATAACGTAAAAAAACAAAAGAAAAAAAAGAAAGGAATTATCAGAATATGTGCTTTGTGGAGATTGTAGTAATTGAACAGTCGAAGTGATGAGTCGATTAAAGCTAGATGACCATGGAAAACAATTAAGCACTGGACACGGTTCGAATCCTGTGAGCAAGATCATGGTTGCACAATGCTGAGGAGCCGCATACCGGGACGAAACGGCCATCCAGTTCTTCTAGTTTTTCAATAGTGATCTAGATTTAATCAACTCATGAATTCAACTATGAAAGAAATTACTTGGATTTAATGTATATTCAAACTGTGTTTGAATAGACTTCGGTAACAGGACAATGCCCTCATAATACAAACATAAAAATAGAAATTGATTAAGGATAAGTCTTAGCATCAAAAATTAGGAATTGTAATCCCTTACACGTATGTTTAGTTTATTGATCATACTTCCCATTAAGACACAATTATTCACCGTCCTAAATTTGGATAATATAACAAGAAGACGAAGTTTACCAGGTCTATACTTGACGTATATCAGCACAATACAAATAATCTAGTTATACATATATACTTGTCAAGATAATCTTAGATGCAAAATTACAGGTCAACTATACAACATAGGTTAGAAGAAACAAAGTGATTCGCATAACAAACTGATTTCGAATACATAAGGGTGATTTGAAATTTCGTTTAGTCAAGGCATCACTAAACCACATATGCAACACTAGGATGGTTGATGTGATATAATTCATCCATGGACCATCGTAACTGTTTATAAATGATCTAAGAAACTTGTCTCTCCTATGCTTTTATTTGACCATTGGAATTCATTTGTTTCTGTAACCACTTCGATATGAATTCAGTCATCATTAATTAGAGATCACGATTATTTCTCTCCTGTAAGTATATATGCACATACATATTAACTGATAAACAAAGTGGGATTTAATACACTTGTTTACATGATGTTTAGGATTTTGTTGGAACCCTGATCCACCATTTTTCGATGAGGATGAGTTGTTCTGAGTTAAAACGCCTACTAATCTCTAGTTTAATTCTTCATTTAAAAACATGACCACTTCAATCACCTATAAATAGTAGGATAATCTGGCCTCCTTTAGTTTAATCCCAAAATGTAATAAGTATCATACTGTGGCATATCTATCGGCTGATAAACATCATTATCTTTGTTATCTCTCGTCTCCTAATTTCTATAGTTAACCTATTATTTTGCATCTGAGTGTCTCAGCAAATCTGTATATAAATATGATCGAATTGTTCATAGTGTATTGAGCTAATATACATCAGGTATAGTTATGGTAAACTTCATCTTCTCATTGATTTATCCAAATGATCTCAAAATTTTGTATATAACCAACGGCACTTCGTCCATCCACTAACCCAATATATATAAATCATAATTGTAAGAATGAGACCTGTATATTAGGATTTTTCATTTGTTGCTTATATGAAATAATGAAAATTCGATATATGAGAAATCTCACAATGATTTGTCCAGATTTTTATCAATGTTCTCTTTTTCAATTATTACCAGTTTAATAATAAAAGAAAGCGATTTTATGGTTGAATTCATGAGTCAATTTAAAGTAGACCACCATGGAAAACCTGGAAGCACTGGATGGCAGTTTCGACCTAGTATAGGCCCTATAGTACTTCGAAGTGCTACAAACTACGACGAAACAACTGTCCAGTGCTTCCAGGTATTCAATAATGATGATCTAACATCAATCTTTTACAGATCTATTGTAAATATCACAAAAATACATCAATTATATCTTATAAGAAATTAACATACTTGATTTTGTATATCTAATGAAAAATTCTGATAAATTTCACTTGAATTATCAATTAAATCATCTAACCATTCCATTGGTTGAAATGATTTTGAAAAATAAATGAATCCACTGATTTGACATAGAATTGGATCTGTAAATTCAATTCAAATATTTTATAATCAAATGGAAATAAACAGGTGAGTTTGATTATATTCAATATAATGGTAGATAAACAATCATGTTTGAGTGAGATTAGAATTTATGGATGTTAGGTCCCGATAAACATAATGAATGGTAACTTTAGGATCCTTTCATGGACCAATACTAAACGTATATTTTTATCGTATAATTGTTAAATAACTAAACTTTTCATATTCATATTCCTCTCATTATAAACTTTATTTTCACCTGTGAACCAATATTATACGTTTTACCATTCCTGAATTATGCCCTGTCTATTATTAGTCACTGTCTCCCACATTCACAGCCACATTTGGCCAATTCTTGTACAAATGTTATTTCCTATTTTATGGCACCTTGTGGTCTGTTTGATTGGTATATAAACTGAATATGTTGAAGTATAAGGATTCATAAAGCAGAAGTTTAGACTGGTGTTCTTGACTAAACTGGCTGGGCAAGGCGGGAAGCAGGACCAATTAGGACTCTAGGCTGCTCGCAAGTGTTTTACGAGTCATTGGTCCGATCGATAATTCACTGTTCCTGATTGGCGGCTTTGGGGTATGACAATGGAGGACTTTTGAGTGATGTTGAAATGATCTTGTCAATGTCAATCTACCTACTAGGACTATATAATGGTTCTACAGCAGTGTTAGGATTAAAGATTATGATTAATACTTGAGGGTTATGGTTAAGTGTTAGATTTAGGGTTTTCATCAGGAACGGATATCATCTTAACTGTTAAAACGCTATTTAGTCAAATGAATGAATGAATTTCGCGCCAAAATCTATCATCTGCTATATTAGATCTGATTGGCTCTTGCATAAATTAGTCTCACCGAATTTTCACAAAATCGGAGTTTTACAATTAATAGATAAGAAATAATTCCCTGTTGATTATATAATCATTTTACAGAAAATTCTACAAAGTAGTTCATTGATGAGTTTGAATGAATACACATCATTAGTGAACTGGATAGCATGTTATGTTTCTGCTGAGAAAGTTACTAGGTACAAATCTTGTAGTAATTAACAAACCGAATACAAGTATATTCAGTTGATAGGAACAAATAACATGAAACATATATCTAAAATATAATTACTAGCCATATCACATATTTCCCCTATTTCCAAATATTCTTATTGAAATGAGTTAGAATAAACAATGAAAAAAAAAGTTTCATTGAAAGAATACTTGATGAAATTTAATTTCTTAGGTAATCATGATAATATTACTAATCCTATTCTATGATGTATCAACTTACAATCAATTTGTGGTTTTGAAGTAGTTGTAGAGTGTATTCGTGTAAATTGATCATCAGTTCGATTATGAACTACTGGAATTGTTAAAGCAGGCAAAGTTATTTTAGATTGTGTGGTTAGTTCTTTATATTCAGATGAAGTAGATCTTTGTGTAGTCAGTGTTGTTGAACTAGAGGTTCCTATAATGAAAGAATAATATATATATATATACACTTAGGAAACCATCTAATTTTGTAATTTATTTACAACATTTGAATTTCTTTGTTTTCGCGCCAAAGGCGCTCTTGTCAGCTTCATGTCGTATTCCCCACTGGGAAATATCTTCAATGCTATTGGTCCGTTGCGTCTTTTAGTATGCTGCTTGGTAACTCTCCTCAAGGACAGTTTTGCACTGTTTATATACGTTTTGAAATGTGTTTGTTGTGATCGCTCATTTCTGGCTCTTTACAGGATATAATTCCTCATTCCAAGCTTGGACGTCTCTGTCTAGTTAGCGGGGCTGGGACGTATCAATAGCTAGCTTACTGATCTTTGATCAACAAGTCATGTTCTCGTTCGCCAAGTAAGTGGACTCGTGATGAATTGTTATATCATGGTTCATTATTTATGATTGATATATATATGATTTACATGAGCGTGCATCCATAAAAAGTTACATATTCACATGACATCATAAATAATACATCTATGAAATTTTATGTGGACTCATTCACATGGCAACTGTAAACTAATGTTAATTTCAAAAAATGTTCTTAATGGGCAGGATTGCATGAGAATGCAGTTAATTCACCAGAGATCCAAAGTAGAATTGGCGGATATTAGAATATTTGTTGTAACTTATGTGCTGTGTGCCCTGCTAATGTATAACGTGACGACACGGCCAATCAAAGAGCAGTGACTTATCGATAGGACCAATGACGCGCACACCCGTATGATTTGTCAGCAACTAAATAAATAAACAAATCAATCAAGCAACCAACAGACACTGCACAATAGCACATCTCGTGTGAGCGTATGTAGGAAAAGATATGCACAGCACTTGATGTTATGCAACATAATGTGAACCTACCGAAAGCAACTCCAGTAGTAGTTGATGACGGGCTGGTCATCAGCACAGTCGATCTTGCAGTCATCGTCTCCATCGACGTGGTCCTGATCGGCTGCCTCGATTCTGTCGACACACTTGTTTCTGTTTGTCCGAGACCGTCAGTCGACTTCACAGTGCTTGTTCGTGGACCTGTTGAGTTAAACGGAAAACACATGTAGTTGTATTCATCGTTCAGAAATATCTTCCTGTCAGCTTCCATACAGGACTACGGTGGTTGATATTTCGACCATCTAATTATTATTATTATTATTATTATTATTATTATTATTATTATTATTATTATTATTATTATTATTATTATTATTATTATTATTCTACTAACAAGATGTTGTTTGTCCGACTCAACAGAACATCAACTCATGCACAACAACACTTCGAATTGCATAGTCTACACGATTAGTTGAGATAGAGAAGACTGAGTCTTCATTGCAGCTGTAAATTCCGAACAGAATCCAAAACTTAAAATAAGACAACTACATTTATATAGTGACACTCAGTGACCATAGCACGCATTGCGAAAATCACAACCACAATTCAGGCAGTAGCAAATGTCATTGAAGAAGTGTGAATTCGAACAATCTTATCTGGGTTATCCTTCAATCGATAAACTGACATGCAATAACAAACACCCATACATACTCATCTCTCCTTAACACACCGATTCACTCTTCACAATTTAGAAAACCTGCACAAATCAATGCTACACAACACGGTCTCACACTACAGAAATGCTACACCGTACATTGTAAACAACAAACAATCGACATCATCAACATTACCACGATGCATGTGACCTGTGAAAGAAAACTGGAGAGTCTCACACCTCCCTATCCATCAGTAAGTCAGTCACTAACTCCACGTATACGTTTTCCATGGTGTATTGATCTCTCTGCTGGATGCTTCCACTACGAGTGTGCACATCCAACATTGGGAACAATCGGCTGATAAACAATACTGTCACTGTTCTCCTATCTCAATGGCGCCACACTCAGTGTCTCGCCTAACTATCATCTCATCTCATCTCATCTCACATCACATCATATCATATCATATCATATCATATCAAAACATATCATTGGCAAAATGGGCAACAACAATTGACGACTTACGATATGCTGTGATGTTTCTCAAACTTGGTCCACTCTTGATATTCAGGAGTGTGCATCCACGAACCAGAGTCTCCGTGAGATCAGTCTCAGTTGGTTGTGATCCACGAGACAAATGCAACTGCACACTCGCAATTGCTCGAACAGCTTCGATTGAGACACGATTGACACCCGCGTCTGTGTGAGCTTGGCCAACACCGTCAATCCAGATCATGATCCGAATGAAGACAACACGGACACAAGTAGCACCTCGAGAGAACTCTTCACTACCCAGACGTAGTCCGCTCAATAGCTGCAACGTGCAAAACAAAATCACACAGAATACACAATCAGTCGATTAGTCAGTCTCTCGATCCGTCGTTCGCTTGCTCATATATCAACATCACAACTACAATTTTCAATTAGACCGGTGTCGACCAGTGCTCATCATCGCTATCATCATTATAATGACCAAGTGCATGACCACCACTTCACAAATGGACAATCACTTACAATCACTGGCTTACTCATTCAACTAACCGACGCTCACACTACCAATGTGAACACCACTCAATACACCAATTCATCACTACTCGCTTCAATCTCACACTCACATGACCACTAACTCATTACCTGCTCACCTACTTACTCACCACCTACTAATAACTTCTTACCTACTCACTAACTCATTGCCTTCTCACAAACGTCCGTTCTCACACACACACACACACACACACACACACACACACACACACTTCCACGCCTACTTACTAGCTCAGTCTGTACATTACACATTCATCAATTTGATTCAAACGATGCCCCTCTCTCTCTCTCTCTCTCTCTCGGAGATCTTCACTCCTGTCATTTCACAGAACCATTAGTCCACTACACTGGTGTCATTCGAACAATCCACACACTGCTTCTCTGATTATTGCATACCAGTACACTAAGAACACAATAACCATAACCAATGCACACCTACCAGGTCACAAATCGACATCGACAAATTTCTGTACATGACACTTGACTCATTCGACAGATCAGTTGACCAATTCATGGGCACTGACCGTTCTCCAATATAGATCACAATATCCACCTCGAACACGAACATCTCTACAAGGAAAAGTTAATGAGAAAAGTCTTAAATACCATAGCATGTAATTGGTAATGATAATAATAGTTTCATTGCAAGTTCCTGATATTTTGAAGGCACGCTCGTGGTGATACAGTGAGTAGGAATCGATGTTGTCACTGATTGTTACTGGTGTGGTGTCTTCACGACTAACTTTAGTTTGATTCACTATTCATCATTCTGCGGAAGATGTTAGTAATGCTTACAAATAGACGAAAAGATAAGTGCACACAAGAACGCACGGAATGACATTAATGAACTGAATTGTAAGAGTGACTGCGATCTAGTCGAACACTGCAAAATGAAAACAGAATGGTCGTCAGTTGTCATTACGCCGTTCAGATACTGTCACCAAATCTAATATAATCACGAGGTGGGTCTGTGCCTCAATCGACGCACTCACTCAAGCAGTCGGTCAGTCGATCGTTCAATCAATCAGTTTATCAATCAACTGAACACTGAGCACAGCACAAACTCAAATCTCATGTGACCATGTATGGAAATAGATGCGAACAACACGTGACTTCTGACGAAACAATATGAACCTACCGAAAGCATCTGACGTAGTAGTTGATGATGGGCTCGTCATCTTCACAGTCGGTGTTGACTTCACCGTCTCCGTTGTCCTAATCGGTTGTGCGAATTCGGTTGAGACACTACTTCCACATTGGGATGAGTAGCAAGTATCAACAGACTGGAAGCAAGGACTTCTGGTCAAAATACCAAAGAAAGGCGATCTCAGCAAGTATGATTACTACAGGGGCATCACTCTTCTCTCAATACCGGGAAAAGTTTTCAACAGAGTATTTCTAAACAGGATGAAGGACTGCGTAGACGCCCAACTTCGAGAAAAACAGGCAGGATTCCGTAAGGATAGATCGTGTACAGACCGAATCGCAACTCTACGGATCATTGTGGAACAATCAATTGAATGAAATTCAGCACTCCGCATCAACTTCATTGACTATGAAAAGCATTTGATAGCGTGGACAGGACAACACTATGGAAGCTTCTTCGACACTACACCTTGCCTCAGAAGATAGTCAATATCAAGGAGGAATACCTATGATGGATTAAACTGCAAATGTCAAGACAGTTCTACTGTATGGGCGGAAACCTGGAGAACTACGAAAGCCATCATCCAGAAAATACAGGTGTTTATTAACAGTTGTCGACACAAAATACTTCGGATCCATTGACCGGACAACATCTGCAACAACCTACTGTGTGAGAGAACAAAATAGATTCCAGTGGATGAAGAAATCAGGGAGAAGCGTTGGGAGTGAATAAAACACACATTGAGGAAGACACCCAACTTCGTCACAAGTCAAGCCATCATATGGAATCCTCAAGGCCAAAAGAGAAGAGGAAGACCAAAGAACACATCAGGACGAGAAATGGAGATAGAGATGAGAAAATCGAACAAGAATTGGATGGAACTAGAAAAGAAGGTCCAGGACAGAGTGGGTTGGAGAATGCTGTTGGGCTGCCTGTGCTCTATTGGGAGAAACAGGCGTAAATAATTAATATATATAGCCGGAGAAATATACAGTAATGTTTAAGAGTAGATGGATAATCACTAGTAATAGAATGATAGGATTGTCATTTAGTTTTGTTATTGATTCATCAGCTGAATATATCAGCAACTCAGAGTTAATTTCCACACTGGGACTTAAAACCATCACCCCTCGCTTTAAATGCTAAATGCACTGTTCAATAAAAAAGAAAAACTGACGAGTCGAGATAGATAGTGAATTACTCAAAAAGATAATGAGTTAGTCGTTTAAATCGAAAGATAATGAGTTCGTGTCAATGAGAGAATATCAGTGTTCGAATACAGGTAAATTCAACTGGTGAATCCTAAATAGAATTGTTTAGAGTATTTGTTATAACTTATGTGCTGTGTACCATGCTAATGTATGACGTGACGACAAGGCCAATCAGAGAGCAGTGCCTTATCGATAGGATCAATGACGCGCACACCCGTATGATCTGTCAGCAACTAAATAAATAAACAAATCAATCAAGCAACCAACAGACACTGCACAATAGCACATCTCGTGTGAGCGTATGTAGGAAAAGATATGCACAGCACTTGATGTTATGCAACATAATGTGAACCTACCGAAAGCAACTCCAGTAGTAGTTGATGACGGGCTGGTCATCAGCACAGTCGATCTTGCAGTCATCGTCTCCATCGACGTGGTCCTGATCGGCTGCCTCGATTCTGTCGACACACTTGTTTCTGTTTGTCCGAGACCGTCAGTCGACGTCACAGTGCTTGTTCGTGGACCTGTTGAGTTAAACGGAAAACACATGTAGTTGTATTCATCGTTCAGAAATATCTTCCTGTCAGCTTCCATACAGGACTACGTTGGTTGATATTTCGACCATCTAATTATTATTATTATTATTATTATTATAATTATTATTATTATTATTATTATTATTATTATTCTACTAACAAGATGTTGTTTGTCCGACTCAACAGAACATCAACTCATGCACAACAACACTTCGAATTGCATAGTCTACACGTTTAGTTGAGATAGAGAAGACTGAGTCTTCATTGCAGCTCTAAATTCCGGACAGAATTGAAAACTTAAAATAAGACAACTACCTTTATATAGTGACACTCAGTGACCATAGCACGCATTGCGAAAATGACAACCACAATTCAGGCAGTAGCAAATGTCATTGAAGAAGTGTAAATTCGAAGAATCTTATATGGGTTATCCTTCAATCGATAAACTGACATGCAATAACAAACACCTGTGAATTTGGCCTCATACACGTATTTTGCAATTAGTTTTTATAGCTTTTGCATTGATTTTGTTTATTTCCTCAATCTGTACATTTATCATTTAACGATTTTACTTGTTGTTCTATTATGTGACCTTGTCAATAAACTTCCTTACGTTTTGGATTACACATAGCACGACATTGTTAACTGTGGCTCAATAAATACACTCCCATACACACATGTCTTGTCTGTCATGTCTGTGGATATAATAAATAAACTATTGATTAACTATCAATCAACAACACCGTCATTAAAACCTATTGCGAACAATCACTTATACTTCATCTCTGTCTCCGCGGACGATTTACTTGTGTTTTCATCGTAGCTGAAGTCAAAAAACCCATTCTTGGAGCTGACTTTCTCGGTGCTCACAACCTACTTGTAGATATGGGTAAAAATATACTAGTAGACAAGAACACAAGCTTACAGGTCAGCGGCACAACTATCTCCAATTACGAGACTCATGGAGTCCGAATGATAAAACCTGAGAATAAAATTTTCACCGATACCTTGTCGGAATATGAGTGTATAACAATAGTTGATTATCAAAGCGAACGCTCCACACACCATGCCCAACACACTATCACTACCACAGGTCCACCCATTTGCGCCAGAGCGAGGAGGCTTTCCTCAAACAAGTTGCAAGTCGCCAAGAGAGAATTCGAACATATGATTCAACTCTGGAAAATTAGAGAATCTAACAGTCCTTGGGCCTCGCCATCGCACATGGTTCTGAAGAAAAACCAAAACTGGCGCCCATGTGGAGATTATCGATGTTTTAATAACCAGACTATTCCGGACAGGTATCCTATCCCTCATCTACACGATTTTTCTCTAAATTTCCTTGGAAACATCTTTTCGAAGCTAGACTTAGTAAGAGCTTATCATCAAATCCTGATGGCACCAGAAGATATTGAGAAAACAGACATAATCACGCCTTTTGGTCTGTTTGAATTATTGGGAACGCCATTCGGGCTAGAAAACGCCGCTCAGATGTTTCAGATGTTCATGTATGAGGTCACATGAGGTTTAGATTTCACATTTGCCTATATCGATGATGTTTTGATCGCCAGTTCATCACTAGAAGAGCACATCCAGCACTTACAGACCCTTTTAGAACGTCTCAAAAAACAAGATGTCGTTATTAATCCTTCTAAATGTATATTTGGTGTTCCGGCCTTGGAGATTTTAGGATATTACATCGACACTCAAGGCATTAAACCACTTCCGAAAAACGTCAAAGCCATTACCAGTTACCCAGAACCAACTTCAGTAAAATCACTAGGTCGTTTCCTTGGAACATGCAGTTTTTACCGACGATTTCTACCAAATTGCACTGATGTACTACAGCCGCTGACAGATTTACTGAAGAACGATAAAACATGTACAAAGAAGGACAAGAACCAAATATTCAAGTTACCTCCTGATGCCAAAACGGCATTTGAAAAAGCTAAATCCATGATTGGCAATGCTACCATGCTCCAACATCTAAATACTGAAATCACAACCCGGTTGATCCTGTGTACGAATGCTTCACAAAAAGCTGTCGGAGCAGTATTACCACAGCGTGTAAACAATACGATTACTCCCATAGCCTTTTTCTCCAAAAGATTATCGCCGACCCAAGAACGTTATAGTACTTTTGGACGTGAACTCCTAGCTATGTATTTAGCCGTAAAACATTTCAACTTCTCGCTACAGGGCCGTGACTTCATCATTATGACCGATCATAAACCTCTTCGTCATTTCTTTAGCACACCGTACGACGAACACTCTCTATGAGAAGCCAGACAACTGGATTATATCTCAAACCTGTACCGATTCCTTTTTCAGATGCATCCATCATTTGCGACACCTCAAGAATAATAATCGTCCCTTTGTCCCATATGCTTGTCACCGAAAAATATTCCAACACCTGCATGATCTGTCGCACTCAGATATCAGAGCTACCACAAAGCTCATAACAGAACGCTTCGTTTGGCCGAGAATCAATTCGGATATTGAACGTTGGACACGTAGTTGTCTTCAGTGTCAACGCAGCAGGATCGAGAAACATGCTATCAGCCCAACTGGAGAATTTTCCACCCCCGACAAACGTTTCCAACATGTTCATTTGGATTTAGTTGGGCCCTTGCAACCACCAAATTTATTCACTCACATACTCACCGCGGTGGACAGGTTCACCAGATGGACCATAACATGTCCCATAAAAGACACGTCAACAGAAACAGTTGCATCAGTTTTCCTTGATCGCTGGATATCAAACTATGGAGTACCGTTGATAATCACTACAGATCGTGGCCGCCAATTTCAATCCGTCCTATTTCAGGAGTTCACTAAACTTCTCGGGGTAAACCACATCAAAACAACAGCTTATCATCCTGTAGTTAATGGCATGGCTGAAAGATTCCATCACCAATTAAAAAGCTCACTGATGGCTCAAGCTGACTCATCCAAATGAAGCGATGCCTTACCGCTTGTACTCCTCGAAATTCGTTCAACTACAAAGGCAGACATTGGATGCACAGCCGCCGAATTAGTCTATGGCACAACTCTCACGTTAACTGTTCGACTGGTCAACCATGAAGCTATAACTCCAGGGTATTCTACTCGCTTCGTAAGCCGCCTATTACAAACGATGCAAAACATTAAAGCAATGCCCCCTTGCAAACACAACCGTCGAGTCCAACTTGATAAACACCTTGAAACGTGCAAATTCGTTTTCGTTCGATTAGATGCGGTTAAAAAACCATTGAAAAAACCATACGAAGATCCGTATAAAGTAATTTAACGCACACAAAAGTACTTCATCATCAACAGAAATGGCAACAAGTAGACCATTTCTATGGACAGAATAAAACTTGCTTTCTACGAAGCTACTCCAGTCAAAGAAGACAACATTGTCGACAAGCCAAACCCCTCCCATCAGTTACTGAAAAACCAGTGGAGGATGAAAAACTTAACACTAAGCCTTCTTATTTGACACGCTCCGGTAGTCATATAAAGAAACCTAAACGTTATGTACATTTTGTAGACTAATAAAAGCAAAAACATTCAGGGATGCATATTACAAGATTAAATTTACTCCATTTTTCTAGTAAAAACTATTTCCCTTCTTCACTTGTGCATATAATTAATTACATTTCTTCACGATCACTTGTTTTGTCAATCTTTTTTAATAAGAGAAATTGTCATAATAACAAACGGGTGAACTGTAGTTCATTATTTATTAATTATACATAAAAATAAACAAGCCAATATTTTATTTTACCAGCTTATTAACAGTCATGCACATTATAAGTATTATTAGCAAACCAAGACTTTGAATATTTGTATTTTCATTTTTTTCTCTGTGGTTACTATGATATGCTGCACTAATACGATTTTACACAATAACACATGGTATGTTACCAAGGTGCATGTCATACATATCTCCACCATATTTTTGTTGTTTTTGTTATTTCTTGTTATTATAACCAGTGTTACCTCTGGACACACTGCGGGCAGCTATGTACAGATAGACTTAAAAAACTTATTTTGTAAATAGTTTTTGATAGCTTTTGCATTTATTTTTTTATTTCCACAATTTGTACAACCATCGCTAAACGATTGTACTTGTTGTTTAAGTATGTGACCTTGACAACAAACTTCCTTCCGTTTTGAATCACACATAGCACGACATTGTTAACTGTGCATTAATAAATTCACACTCATATACACATGTCTCGTTCTATCATGCCTGTGGATATAATAAATAAACTATTGATTAACTATCAACTATTTTTATAGTTGCATTCTACGTCGAGAAAACTGGCTGAAGCCTGATATATTTACTTCATTGGAATTATTAATTATCTACAATTGTGCATCTTTGGTACCAAGAACAACGGAACACGCAACGTCCCTGAACTAAGATTTTGCGTTACTAATTTATAAGTTGTTTATTGCTATATTAACTTTTGAACGTAATAATTTTATTGCTATTCCTTTGTGGTTAATATACTGTTTGGTCCACCAAGCACCAATATACACATATCTCCCCATAACACACCGATTCACTCTTCACAATTTACAAAACCTGCACAAATCAATGCTACACAACACGGTCACATCACAGAAATGCTACACCGTACATTGTAAACAACAAACAATCGACATCATCAACATTACCACGATGCATGTGACCTGTGAAAGAAAACTGGAGAGACTCACACCTCCCTATCCATCAGTAAGTCAGTCACTAGCTCCACGTATACGTTTTCCATGGTGTATTGATCTCTCTGCTGGATGCTTCCACTACGGGTGTGCACATCCAACATTGGGAACAATCGGCTGATAAACAATACTGTCACTGTTCTCCTATCTCAATGGCGACACACTCAGTGTCTCGCCTAACTATCATCTCATCTCATCTCATCTCACATCACATCATATCATATCATATCATATCATATCATATGAAAACATATCATTGGCAAAATGGGCAACAACAATTGACGACTTACGATATGCTGTGATGTTTCTCAAACTTGGTCCACTCTTGATATTCAGGAGTGTGCATCCACGAACCAGAGTCTCCGTGAGATCAGTCTCAGTTGGTTGTGATCCACGAGACAAATGCAACTGCACACTCGCAATTGCTCGAACAGCTTCCATTGAGACACGATTGACACCCGCGTCTGTGTGAGCTTGGCCAACACCGTCAATCCAGATCATGATCCGAATGAAGACAACACGGACACAAGTAGCACCTCGAGAGAACTCTTCATTACCCAGACGTAGTCCGCTCAATAGCTGAAACGTGCAAAACAAAATCACACAGAATACACAATCAGTCGATTAGTCAGTCTCTCGATCCGTCGTTCGCTTGCTCATATATCAACACCACAACTACAATTTTCAATTAGACCGGTGTCGACCAGTGCTCACCATCGCTATCATCATTATAATGACCAAGTGCATGACCACCACTTCACAAATGGACAATCACTTACAATCACTGGCTTACTCATTCAACTAACCGACGCTCACACTACCAATGTGAACACCACTCAATACACCAATTCATCACTACTCGCTTCAATCTCACACTCACATGACCACTAACTCATTACCTGCTCACCTACTTACTCACCACCTACTACTAACTTCTTACCTACTCACTAACTCATTGCCTTCTCACAAACGTCCGTTCTCACACACACACACACACACACACACACACACACACACACTTCCACGCCTACTTACTAGCTCAGTCTGTACATTACACATTCATCAATTTGATTCAAACTATGCCCACCCACCCTCTCTCTCTCTCTCTCTCTCTCTCTCCCTCTTGGAGATTTTCACTCCTGTCATTTCACAGAACCATTTGTCCACTACACTGGTGTCATTCGAACAATCCACACACTGCTTCTCTGATTATTGCATACCAGTACACTAAGAACACAATAACCATAACCAATGCACACCTACCAGGTCACAAATCGACATCGACAAATTTCTGTACATGACACTTGACTCATTCGACAGATCAGTTGACCAATTCATGGGCACTGACCGTTCTCCAATATAGATCACAATATCCACCTCGAACACGAACATCTCTACAAGGAAAAGTTAATTAGAGAAGTCTTAAATACCATAGCATGTAATTGGTAATGATAATAATAGTTTCATTGCAAGTTCCTGATATTTTGAAGGCACGCTCGTGGTGATACAGTGAGTAGGAATCGATGTTGTCACTGATTGTTACTGGTGTGGTGTCTTCACGACTAACTTTAGTTTGATTCACTATTCATCATTCTGCGGAAGATGTTAGTAATGCTTACAAATAGACGAAAAGATAAGTGCACACAAGAACGCACGGAATGACATTAATGAACTGAATTGTAAGAGTGACTGCGATCTAATCGAACACTGCAAAATGAAAACAGAATGGTCGTCAGTTGTCATTACGCCGTTCAGATACTGTCACCAAATCTGTCTGTGTCGGTAAGTCGATCGTTCAATCAATCAGTTTATCAATCAACTGAACACTGAGCACAGCACAAACTCAAATCTCATGTGACCATGTATGGAAATAGATGCGAATAACACGTGACTTCTGACGAAACAATATGGACCTACCGAAATCATCTGATGTAGTAGTTGGTGATGGGCTCGTCGTCTTCACTGTTGATGTCGACTTCACCGTCTCCGTCGTCCTAATCGGTTGTGCGAATTCGGTTGAGACACTACTTCTGTCTGTCTGTTGAAGGCTGCTAGTCGAAGCTGACATGCTTGTCGGTGAACCTGTTCAATTAAGTATGAAAACACACATATTTATAATATTTGTATTTGTCGTTGATTCACTCGTCGCAACCGAGAACACCTTCACAAATCAATGCTAATACTTATATCAGATATAAAAGTTGTTTTAATTTTCAGTCTTTAGTTGCGGTATTTTGTCAGTAAAATATAATTATTTCTCCTCAAATGCTCTCGCACACAGTACACGTTATCTGTTTTTGTATCACCATTTTCTTAAAGCATTATTAGATTTCGCATACTCGCAATGGAAAATACCTGTTTTCGACATTATTGATATCATTTTATGATCATTTTTAATATTGAGTTTACCGGAGAACCATATTTCCATCTACATATTCGATACTTTCTCTGTATATTCATATTTCTCTCGCATATTCGCACGAGATTGCCAATGGAAAAGTTGGGTTGACTTAAGATTGATTTTTAATATTTAGGTTGCTTTCGTCACTAATTAACCGTTGTCAGTGAATAACTGAACATCAGCAATTAATTGAATGATGTTCAATCCTCGTATAATAAGCCACATCAGTGCACATTCATGACTTAAATTGGGATCAAAACCAAATCTTTCGAGTCTAGATACTAATGTGTAACTATCAAAATGATTGACTCGATGTCTACTGCTAGAATTATCACTTCAATCAATCTGAACTACAAAATGATTATCCTACCCTGATATTCTACACAATTGTTCTACTTCTGACGTGATCAAATTTTACTGGTCACGAATTCTCACTGGAACATGAGGGAATGGTTTAAATTAATATACTAGTGAGCTGACATTTACAGTCTATCAGAAGACGTTTTTTCGCATAATATGATATTATCAACTTACGAGTGAACTCAATGTCAACCAAATTTGGTCCACTCGTAACATTCAACTTTCCCAATCCTTCAATGAAAATCTGCTTTAATTCCATATCGGTTAATAGTGAAGCTTCCAATGATCTCATTTCCACCGTCATTTTCATGAAGATACTGTTGATTAATCGATATTCGTATTTTTCAGTATTATTAACTCTGTAGACAGTTTCAATTTGAACTATGACTTTTTCGAACGTGACGTTCAGAATTTTGAACGAGAATGAAATTTGAACATTCGCTAATTGTACACTTTTAGTAACCTAATCATCAAGGAAAGAAAAAGATATTTCAGTTATGCAATCAAATCTTCAAATTATCAATCAGTTTAAAATAATTCAACTAAAAGCAAAGATGGATATCGAGGCAATACGCACAGTATGCACATATGCCAATTAGTGACTGGTCAATTTCAATCCTGAACAACAATGGGAAGATTCCAGTAAAACAATACCAAGTGAATTAAATACAAAAAGGTTATGCTTCCTATTAAATCACTGATTATCATAAAACAATATACCAAACCTTAATGTGTGCCATCAAAACATTGTCGTTAAATAACCCTCATGATTTTGAACATCAAATTTGTCCAATACTACTTTTAAATAAAGAAAATAAGCTTATAAGAATAGTAGAAGAATCAAAGCCGCATATCATGAATGTACCGAAGTGAGGCATTCACACCGTCGGACTCAAAGTTAGTGGTGTGGATGTTGAGCATTCGCTCGCAAGTCTGACGGTCCTGAAATCAATTTCTTGTGGTGAGTTTTTGGATTTATTAGTACTGAAGAGTTACATTTAATGACAAAACAGCTACCCAAAGATTTCACGTTTTAATAGTAGTCTAACTGAGATCAGTTTGTTGTTTATAGATCATGAAATTTCAATGATCTCCAATAATTCTCCTTATACTAAAAGTATATCAGTCCATGGAAACATACGCAAGTTATTTATTCTAAAGTATGCGGAGATTTCTAGCATCATAGGCGAATTGCATGACGCCTGTTTTACAACAGTATATTTATATTAGAACATATTCACCACATTATCATGATCGTAGATAATTTAATTTGTAGTTATTCATCAACATGGCTTAACTTCAATACTGATGGAATTGATGCTCCCTGTATGATTCGAACCATAGTAACTCAAATATCGGAGAAACAATCAACTTTCTTAAGAATTTTGATATTTAAAATTGAATAATAGCTGAATCATAACCAATGTTATTTCATTCGAGATCGAGATGCAGTGGGATGTCTTAAACATAATTCTTCAACTTCATACATCGCTCGTCCCGATAACTTCTAGTAGATATCTCCTACGGTGTATAAATTTCAGAAGACTATATTAAGCGTTGACTTCAGTCTTCTATCGTACAGCACAGTTCACGAAGCTCCCAAGAAAATGAGGCAAATACGAACGAAAATGAGAATGGATGAATGAATAAAGTTTCAGTAGCACGTAAACGTAAGCAACAGACTGAATCATCTACCACTTTAGGCTAATAAGAGGAATATGTGTATGAGCTGTAACAAGTGATCAAGCATACCTGATCTAAGAAGCATGGTGATGACAACTTAAAGATGTAAGCAAATAGTTGATGCCATGAATGACACTGCATGGTGAATAAGTTAACTAAAGGGCTCATTAAATTCGAACGTGTATAAACTCAAGTATTAGTGAGTATGCCATAGTTTATACGTGATATGGTTATGTAGTATCGGTTACTATACCAGCTCATATAGCTTATTCTAGATTCCGGATAGGCAAATCTATTCATATTTTTAGTCACATCTTGACCTTGTCAATTATTCACTTATCAACCTTGACTGATTTTATATGAGTGTATGTGTGTGCACTTCTTATCCTATTCTTCACGTGCCTGTTACTTATTTTGTTCGACTATAATTAACGATTAACGCTTGATTTAATCAAGTTTGCTCATATGCCTTCTTCTTTGCTTCGCTCTCTTCTCTTCTCTTCACTTCGTCCGTCTCACTGTCTGTCCAGGTCAATGAATTTACAAAATATATGTATTCAAAAATCCATTCTCACATTTGAATTATTAATTAATTGCATTATTCATTCATGAGGATTAATTCGATAATTATGTGAAAGGATTGACGATATGTATATTTCAATAAGATTCATACGAACCAAATGGAGTGAGATATCGGATAACTAAAGTTACATAACATCCTTATAGATATATTCCAGTCAGTAGTAAATATCAGACAAACATAATCTTGCTTCACTTGGCATTGTTTGGCTTGTATCTTCCCATTAAGGTTTAAGCCTGCGATTGATCAGTCTGTTATTGGCATATGTGCATGCTGTGCGTGTGCCTCAATATTACATTAATTCACAAGCTTTTCGTAAGCAATGGTGGATAGTGGCTAGCAGTGGAATCCAGGACACTCTGTGACTGGAACCCAGTACCAATCGCTACAAACGCCATCGCGTTATCCACTCAGCCACTGAGTCCTTGCTTATTACTCATAAATCATCTTAAGTAATATGTTGAAGTAAACTCGAAAAACAATTAGAAATGATGATTTACTTGAATATTCAATTTAAAAATACAAAAAATTAATATTGATACCTACCACATATTGAATTTGTGATGATAAATTTAAATAAAGTGCACTTGTAGGTATACTTAAATTATCTGACCATTCCATTAAATCCCTTGGTTCTACTTTGTAGATTAATGCCTCAATTTGTCCTATCGTAAGTTCTAAATGAGAAGTAGAAATTGGAATATCAAATACTTTAAGATATATATATATATATATATAGCAGGAGAAATATATAGTGATGTTTAAGAGTAGATGGATAATCACTAGTAATAGAATGATAGGATTGTCATTTCGTTTTATTATTGATTCATCAGCTGAATATATATCGGCAACTCAGAGTTAATTTCCACACTGGGACTTAAAACCATCACCCTTTTCTTTAAATGCTAAACGCATTGTTCAAACTGACGAGTCGAGTTAAATAGTGAATTACTTAAAAATATAATGAGTTAATGTTATGACCTTGATCTGTCTACTCTAGATTAAAACCTTGACGCAATAGGCCGATCGGTTTAACCTTGAGGCTAGCACAAGTGAGTTCGAGGTGGGGTAGAGAGAAGAGAACTATTCTAGCATCTGATGGGATAGCAAGTACGCAAATAAGAGAAGACAAGACAGTTGGAACACTATTAGCTGTATTGCGATATCCTGATTTCCTGTGAAATCTCCGAATTCAGAATAGTGCAAAAAGGTACATGAATAAATAGGTGATTTACCTGACCACAATGTACAATAATTTGGAAAAATACTATTATGTCCGAAACTGGGAATTAGGGTAGAAAATAAAGTGCAAAATACTATGTTTAAATTACAATAGCCTCGGAACAAAAAGGGGCATGGCAATGAATGATACATCGTGCGAAAGCTCATGTCCTATAGAATAAAATAGGGACAAAAATATATGTCAATGTTCTACAAGCTTTGAATAAAATGAAATAACGTCCTGATAAACAGCTTACGTAGTTTGTCAGGGCTTCTTGTTTCCCCGTTCACATCAGTTAGTCGTTTAAATTGAAAGATATTGAGTTCGTGTCAATGAGAGAATACCAGTGTTGGAATACAGATAAATTCAACTGGTGAATCCTAAATAGAATGAAATTCATATCCTAGATTTCGCAGCTCGCTACAATCCATCATCATGACCATATCAAGGAAATGCCAACAATTACGGTGATCAACTTTCAACTCTGAATACCAACGGCGGTTTCTTATAAAACTGTAATAATAATGATTCGTTTATAGTTTAAAATATCATCTATAAATAAAGTAGTTTGATGAGACTATAATCTGAGGACGGCCTTTGAGTGATGCTAAAGTGACCTTGAGAGTGTGGATCTAAAATAACTAGGACGAAATGAGGGTACAACCAGTGTGAGGAATCGCAATTATGAATTATACTTAATGTTTAAGGTTAGGATTAAGATTTACGGTTCTCATCATCAACTGACATCAGATATAATTCCAAAACTCTATTTAGCCAAATGGATGAATGAATTTCGCGACGAGATCCGAGACCTGTTATTATTTCATGGCTTAGGGCACAATTCAAGAATGGCATTACTTGTGATAATGGTTCATAGGTCAAAATAAAGTTTATAATGAGAGGAATATGAATACGAATAGTTTAGTCACATAACAATTATACGAAAAAATAAACGTATAGTATTGGTCCATAAATGGATCCCAAATTTGCTACTCATTATTCTTATCAAGACATAACAGTATTCATGAAGTGTTTTTATATCATTTTCTTCTGAATATAGATATTAAGTAACGACTGATCAAAACGATTAGGCTCACTTGCCATCTCAGCTGCATATCACTATGTTTCGGTTTGTTTCATTTCGGTTGACCTCTCTCAATTCGTGTCTGAGATTGTCTGTCTGAATCAGTGAGTGTGCAAAATATGCGAATTCAAAATTCAATTTCGTATTCGACATATTCTATTCCGTTATTCTCTAACGTGGAATTAAATCGATGAAAATATACGATGGTTGATAGAATGCTGATTTCAGTAACAGTCAAAATACGAATTAGCTGGATTAAGATATATTGGACCACTAACAACACTAATTTATGCTCATCACATCAAGGATAATTATCATATCATACAAGTATTCAATTATATCGATTGAAATAAATAACTAAATACTGTTTTATTGTTTGAATGGTGATATTATAATTTATAGAAGATTTTTGTGCGACGTTAAACTAACCTTCGGAATGTCCACCTACTAACTAGGACTAAACGATGGTTATAAAGCAGTGTAAGGAAATAGCATTATGATTTACAGTTGATGGTTATGGTTAAGCGTAAGATTTATGGTTTTTATCACGAATTGAAATTAGCGGAAATGCGTAAACGCTATTTAACTAAATAGATGGATGAATTTCGCACCAAAATCCAAGATCTTATAGTGACTCACGTGCAATCGAGTTTAGTTCAGTCAAGGTCTTTTGTTGACTTATTTAATGGACAAAGTGATCCATGACATAACAACTTGTTGTACTATCATTATTATTATGCTTGTATGAAATACATATGCTTGAACATTGTTTAGCGCCTACGCATGTATTCATTCTGCTAGCTTCATTATTAACTGCTTAGTCTATTCGCTGACTCATCCATTTTCCTATACATATATATATATATGTACATTTGCACCCATTCACTACAACTACTTGCAACTGCTACAATCGTAGTTCGCTTGCTCATTCATTTTGCCTCTCTGCTGTCTGGTCCGAATTATCTACTAAATAAACTGTAGTAGCTGCTTCTTTTTGCCTTCTGATTTCAAACATCGTTGAAGATTATACGATAACGGTTCGAGGGTGATTAATTAATGAAGCACAGCCACTACAGAATTGGTAATCCCGACGTGAGAACGGGAAGCGAATTTTGACGAAATAATCAAATTCCAGAAATCCGACTACCTTCATCTCAATTTGGATTATCAAATGAACTCTAATTACAACTGTGGATTTATATTATTATTCTAATTACACTTACATTATTTCGCAAACATTATTAAACGTGACGATTATAATCATAATAAATAACAATTATCCATAAACAATTGATATATTGGTGCAATTTAGTAAGTCTGTTCCATTTTATAAATTGTGCCATTTTTTTATTATCATTGTTTTTGCCCGTCTATTCTTCCTTGTGACTGTTGAATTATTTTCGTGTGCTACTTAATATTTATAAGCATGTCTTACGAAAACACAGTTTCAAGCGTACAGCAAACCTTGTCCGTGAGGTCTCTTAACCTTCCTGCCCCTTCTTTTAAAATCACAGACCCAAAACTTTGGTTTATAAGACTTGAAAATTATTTTCTCGCTAACCGCATTCTTTTGCGAAAGGATAAGTTCGGTCTGACAAGCACACTACTCCCAGACGAAGTAGCTGACAGCGTTCGATAGACACTAGCAAAACCAGACACAGAAAAACCATACGACGTGCTAAAAGAGGCACTAATTAAAACTCTCTCTCTCAGTGACCAGCAATCCGTCGAACAACTCCTTAGCCAAGTACAAATTGGAGATAGAACCCCATCACAACTAAAAAATTATATGAAAAGTCTACTTGGCGATAGGCACATTGACAGTAACCTCTTTCATCAACTGTGGCTCCGCCGACTCCCGGCAAATATACAGCAGATCCTAGCCGTGGGAGATACGGACGCTGATTTAGACAATATAGCAAAGATAGCCGATAGAATATACGAAAGAAGCAAGCAAGCAAGCCCTCCACTACACAACGTGACGGTAGACGGCGAGACTCTAATTTAGCGACGAGCCAATCAGAAGCGTTTGAGCAATTTCAAGGTCACGGAGCCAAATTCAACACGCGATGCTAACATACGGTCGGTTCACAGCGGATTTTAGAGAGGAGGTGATTAATGAGAGGTTAAAACAGATGGGACGGCGAAACTCTAATTTAGGGACGAGCCAATGAGAAGCGTTTGAGCAATTTCAATTATTAGCCAATCAGAAGACAGTATAAAGTAAAAATATATTACAAGAAAGTAATGAATCACAGTGGATATTCTTCTTTTACATGATTTAAAAACTTGTTGAAGTTTGATAAAGGCTCATAAGTTCTAAATTCATAATGCATATTGTATAGAAACTCGTCCATAGGGTTAGGGTTTGGGGTTAAGGTTAGGGTTTAGGGCTAAGGTTAGGGTTTAGGGTTAAGTTAAGTTTAGTGTTTAGGGCTAACGTTAGGGTTTTTGGGTTATGGTTAGGGTTAGATTAGGGTTTAGGGTTAGGTTAAGGTTAGTGTTAGGGTTAGATTAGGGTTTAGGGTTAGGGTTAGGGTTTAGGTTTAGGGTTAGATTAGGGTTTAGGGTTAGGTTAAGGTTAGTGTTAGGGTTAGATTAGGGTTTAGGGTTAGGTTAAGGTTAGGGTTAGATTAGGTTTAGGTTGAGGTTAGAGTTAGGTTAAGGTTAGGGTGAGGGTGCTAACATGCGATCGGTTTACATCGGATTTTAGAGAAGTGGTGTCTATTGACAGGCTACAGCCCTAACCACTAACTCTATGGACGAGTGTAGCATTATGATTTACAGTTGATGGTTATGGTTAAGCCTAAGATTTATGGTTTTTATCACGAATTGAAATTAGCGGAAATGCGTAAACGCTATTTAACTAAATAGATGGATGAATTTCGCACCGAAATCCAAGATCTGTTATCTCAACTCTGATTGGTTCGTCCATAAATTATAGTCAAGCCTAAATATGTAACATTCTATCACAAAAAGAAAAACAAACATACAAACAGATCAACAGAACTCACCATCAAATAATGGAGGTAGAGTATTTTCAAAAGCTTCAAAGGATATACCATCACTAATGAAATTATATTCTGGACTGGTAACGACGGACATAAATCTTGGAGTTGGTGTTGTTACTGATGAAATATCTAGTTTATTTTCGGTGGATTTACTTGTTGACATTTCGGTAGATATTGTAGTTTCATTAGAGATGACTGAAATAAAGAGGGAAAAAGGAGATTGGAAATAATGAACAACAAAGCTAAGAGATTCAATTATCATGTAAACAATAAACAACTCAGTTACCATGATGTGACTGGTCTTATGTTCAGCCCATATTGGTTATTCTAGTTTTTAGATAGATCAATCTATTCATTCTTCTCAAATCACATTTTGACTTTGTCATTTGTTCGCTTATGTAAGCACATCTTCTTGTCTCTTACCTTGCATTGTTTGCGTTCAGCTCTGATAATATTCAAGTCATATGGATGTTATGATTTTTATGCATAGAATTGATGTAAAACATTCACTAGAATACATGGACATATTTCTGGGCAAATTTCAAGCTACCAAACTCCGGTTATGTTACATTTACTTAAGGCTATAACTATCAACTACCTGACATCGATTGTATGTATTAAGAAGTAAAAAATATTAGTTTACGTTTGTCCAGAAAAAAAACAATCCTCTACTGGTTAGACTATTTTAATCACTGCTCTAGTTAACGAGTTATATGTTCCCACGACAGATGATATTTACGGATGTTTGAGTGTGTTGGTAAAAGGGTAGGAGCTTTTAGATAAAATCACCACATCAGTTCCTGAAGTCACTGACATTTCTTCTATGCCATATTGGTAAATAAAGATTACCATATTGCGGTTTATGCAATCTCGGCGATTAGTTGCTGGAAATTGTAGGAAATTGTTTAGAATCATTTACAAAGACAGAGATGCTCTATAAAATGCTTTATTAGATGCTTTTTAAGCAAAAATGGATAGTTTCTAATAGTGGAATCCAGGACACGCGTTTCGGCTCATTTAAGACTCATCAGCTGGATGCACCTGCATCTCAAATTTAGTGTTCACTGTGAAGCTCGAACCCAGTATTATCTACCTAGCTACTAAGTCATGATAGCCACTTACTTGTGCAATGGAGTGTAGTTTTAAATTCACTTGTTATTTACTCGTATCTTCTCATCTACATTAGTTCATCAAATATAGTTTATCCTCATGACCTAATACATTAGAATAAATTATGTTTAAGAAGATAATAATGTGAATAGAATCACTTACGATTAACTTCTACATTCAATAAATAGATATTAAAAGTCCTACTCATATTCATTCCATGATATATTAAAGCAGTAATAAATAGACTTTCATTTATATTTGTAGTATTAATAAGTAATAATTCAATATCAGCAATTCCTTGAACACCTTGAATGAGATTTGTATTATTAATTTGTCTTATTTGTAAATTATTCACATTGATTGGGATGAAGATTACATTAGAACATTTTGCATTTTTCATTATAGAAGAATAACTTTCATTTAAACTTTCAATAATCTATTTGAAGAAAATACAATAATTAGAATAAAACAATAAAATAGATGGGTTTTGTGGAGATTTTTAGAAATTTCACAAGTTGAAATCATGAGTGAATTGTAGCTAGACCAACATGGAAAACCTGGATGTCGACTCAGTGGTCTAATGGTTAAGTGCTCGCGCGCAAAACCAGTAGGTCCTGGGTTCGAATCCCGTGAGGTGCGGGTTCGTGGATGCGCACTTCTGAGGAGTCCCATACCGGGACGAAACGGCCGTCCAGTGCTTCCAGGTTTTCCATGGTGGTCTAGCTTCAATTAACTCATGATTTCAACTTGTGAAATAAAATAGATATACAAAAAGAAACTTAATTTATTTGATTTTGATTAGTACAGGGGATTTGAGAAGATGCTGTCTCATGATAACCAGTAACTAACAATCGATTCATATATCACATTTATTCCTTCAAGACCATAGAGTCTATGTGCGTCATTGGTTTTGTAATCAGGGTTTTCCAACTCCCTTAGGTGAATCCTCCATGTCCATTGACCCGTATAAAAAGAGTGGGATATTCGCTTTTTATCCTCTCAGTTTCGTAAACAACACCGCCACCATGAGAAATAGCAGTGAGCAGAACTTCCCTGACAGTGGTTGCATACGTGTGGTCATGTGAGAGTATTTGGAGGAAAGGTGACTCTCTCTACTCTTGGCCGTACTAGATCATTTGAGGGTTTGAAATAAATGTTATCAAAATACGGTAAAGTGAGACTGTAATCCTAGTATTGAAATGAATCATTTAGACTACAAAACACAATCGAAGATTTAGTGTTTATTTCATACTGATACTGATTTTCAATTACAGTTTGACATGAATATTATCTCTTTAATGTATGTTCTATCAAAGTTTATTAATCATAACATTCTAAATAATTCTGCCTTATATATTTTAACTTCGTTATACACAAGTAGCATTTTGTGTACTGAACAACTGGAGTGCACACAAAAATATTGAAGCTATGTGGTCGAGGCTGAAAGAGTTTTTGAGATATTATCATGGCTCCAATGGCCGACTATTCTGAAGCCATATGGATGATTTCCTCTATTGCATACATCACCATTTTAGGACCTCTGAACCTCTTTCTAACCTTGATAAGTTTTTGAATCACGTATGAGAAATGTATCTAGTTTATTTCTTTGGTTTTGTGTAATATATTTTTGTTCTATACTGACTGTTTGCTGATTGGTTAATATTTCTCAAGGTCACTTAAGATTCGTTCAAAGGTCGTTCATAAATTATAGTCTCGCCGTTCCAAAAACCATTCAATGATGGAGAACTACGACTAGTTTGTTCTAGGCGCTTATGGGTTGCGTTGAGATTAAGAGATGAATCACCTAGAATGACCACCTTGTTTTGTATTTATCAGTTCGACTGCCCTTTTGTGACACGTTATATTGGACAAAGCGGAATGAAAAAATCCACTTGATATTGTTTGCTTGAATCTTGTCATTAAGGATTGAGACTGCGATTGATCAGTCTTTTATTAGCATATGTGCATACTGTGCTTATTGCCTCGATATTACTTTAATTCACAAACTTTCTAAACAAAAATGGATAGTTTTTAGTAGTGGAATTCAAGAGATGTGTCACGTCCTAATAGAGACTCGCCAAACGGATGAACCTGCATCTCAGAGTTGGTGTTCACTTCACCATTCGAACCAAGTACCGTTAATTTCAAACTTCACTTAGCTACTAAGTTCTGATAGCCATTTGCTTGTGTTATGAAAGAAAAATTTTCAAAAGGGATGAAAAAAATACATATATGCGGAAACCACCGTGTATTTAACAATATTCAACTTTATGCGTTACAATATTTAGGAATTACATTCAAACTGATGAGCCTACAAAGAAAAAAACTTACAAAAGTACAAAGTTTCATTTTCAGTGTTATATATTCTATTGTTGATGAATTTGCTAAATCTGATGACCAAAGATATAGATCTGAATTGTTACCAGTATAAAGTGTTCCTTGAACTCTAAAGATTGCTGTTATTAAAAGTAATTTCCCGAAAGATAAGAATAACGAAACATTGATTATTATTATTATTATTATCATTTCAAGTAAGTAGTTTATTTAGTAATTGAAAATATGGAAATAGATGGTGGATTGTTTAAGGTTAGACACTAATACTGTTGAATGCGGGCTTAATGATAGTAATAGATGTTCAGCGTTCACACATGAGATCGAAGGTCTTGTATTTGATTTCTGCGTGAGGGTTATGGATAAGAACTGTTGAGGAGTCCCATGTTATCAGGTTTTTAATGGTGGTCTATTTTATATCAGTTTGTGATTTCAAAAGTGGAAATTCCAAGTATATTAAACTAATGTGAACATATATAATTCACCATTTTAAAAGAATGTTAACTGTTCATTAATTTTGTATTTTTTATCAGAAGGGGTTTTGTGGAAATTTTAGTAATTTTTTATAGTTGAATTCATGAGTCATTTGAAGCTAGACCACTATGGAAAATCTAGAAGCACTGGACAGTCGTTTCATCCTAGTGTGTGACTCCTCAGTAGGGCACATCCACGATTCCGTCCCGTGAGATTTGAACCCAGAATCTATCAGTCTCGCGCGTGAATCCATAACCTCTAGACAAATGAGCTGGCATTCAACAGTGTTACGATCTAACTTCAACCAATCCGAAAAATTGAGCCACCGTTCACAGGTTATTAAGTGTTGGTTAACTTTGATCTTGGACAAAACAGTTTTGTCTGAATAATGTTTGTGAATACACTTTCGAGTAATGGTCTATTCTTCTCTGCTTAAAAATAAATATATATCAATTAATTACAATGTTGAATTAATCAACACATAATGCACTTATACCTAAAGAGACTGGTCAATTACATTTCTAAACATCAATGGGAAGATCCAGAAAACTAATGTAGATGAATTAAACTTCACCTCATGGAACTGAGTATTAGTTATTTGAATTTAAGAGATAAGTAAATAACGCGAAATTGTTCGAAGTGAACAGTGCTAGGTTCAAGTTCTGGAGTAAACATCAACTCTGTAGTTTTCTGAAATGTCACCTGTATGTTTGTTTGTTTTTTACCTCAGTCGTGTTCCTACTCTTTTGAATGTTATGAAATTCTCATTTGTACCGTCAACGTTTTTAATACATATTTCAATTATATTATTTATCATTATTTTCTTAGAATACTTTCATCATTATTGCAAATGATTGACATTCGTTTAAACACACACTGAATCAAGTGAACCACCACTGCAAGCGGGGAAGCTTTTCACACCAAAACATGAGTTATTAAAATTGTGCATAAACAAAACGACAGTGGAAATCGAACACACAAGTTTCACTCTTCCTCGAAATATCAAGAATTGAATGAAGTAAGTAAAAGAAAAGAAAACAATCGTTTGCCCACCCAATCGTCTAGAGATTGTGCTCGAGTGCAAGAATGGAGCTTTTCAATTCGTTCCTTGTTAAGGATGCTATTGTTGACTGTCCAAAGGATTTTATATCATTCATAAATAACTAAATAATTAAAGAATATTTCAGAAATAATAAAAGGGGGAAAAAACCATAAAAAGAAACTGCAAATATAAAAAAGAGAGAAAAAAAAATAAATAAGAGGGAAAAATTAAGAATGAATAAAAGGCGAATAATGGATAGCGAAGAAAGAGTGGATATAAAGCAAAGACAAAAAAAGTAACTAGTAAAATCTGAAATACAAACTAACGTGAGAAGGTACAAAAACCAAAACAAACTAAATTAAGAGAAAATGGTAGACAACAGTGCAAACGACTTTGTTAAAAGGTCAAGCGATATGAAAAGAAAAAAAGAATACGTACCTGTTTGCATTAGTGTAGACGGTGGTGATGGCTGTGATGTGGACTCTGGTGTGTGCTGTGATGTTGACACTGACACTGACACTGACACTGGAGTTGAGACTGGTGTTTGCAGTGTGGTTGATTCTGTCGACTGGAATGCTGTAGTGGAGATTGTTGGCGTGGTGTCGATCAAGTGTGACGTGGATGTGGTTTGGTCAGACTGAGTTGAATGAGTGATGTCGGTGACTGGTGGAATGGATGTGGAATCGGAATGGACACCTGTTGAGAAGGAGTAGTGTGAAATGAATGTGTAGAGAGTGAGTGTGTTTTGTATGTGTGGATGATGACGACACAGAATGCATGAGATGAATTGAGAGTAGTGTGATGAGTGATGAGTGATGAGTGAGTAGAAGTGTGCATAATGGGGTGTGTGTATTGGTTGTTATTACTGAATCAATGTGTGTGTGTGAGTGAGAGAGAGAGAGAGAGAGTGATACATAGATAGTGGATGAGAGTTGTAGACAATGTTTGGATTAGTGGTGTTGCGAGTGATTGACAGACTGGTTGATGGAATTATTGACTTGTTGGTTGAGTGACCGAGGTGGTGACTGAGAGACAGTGTGTGCGTGTGACACACACACACACAGAGTGTGTATGTTTGAGGGAGAGAGAGAGAGGGTGAGTGATTGATTGAATTTGTGAGTGACTGGGTGAGTGAGAGAGTGAAAGTGTGATTGGGTGAGTGTGTATAGGGTTGAGTCGTTTGGAAGTGAGAGTGAGATGGATGGTGTGTGTGTGTGTGTGTATTAGATGGTAGTATTTGTGTTGTGAAATGGTCGAGTGATATTGGTCGAATGTTGTTAAGTGTATTGGTTTGTGTGTGTGTATGTGTGTGTGTGCATGTGTTTGCGAGTGCATGTGATTGCGTGTGTGATAGTGAGTGAGTTTTGGGATGTTTATGAGATGTGTTGTGTTATATTGTGTGGTGTGTGTTGTTGCAATGAAAATCGGATACGTACCTGTTTGCATTAGTGTAGACTGTGGTGATGGCTGTGATGTGGACTCTGGTGTGTGCTGTGATGTTGACACTGACACTGACACTGACACTGGAGTTGAGACTGGTGTTTGCAGTGTGGTTGATTCTGTCGACTGGAATGCTGTAGTGGAGATTGTTGGCGTGGTGTCGATCAAGTGTGACGTGGATGTGGTTTGGTCAGACTGAGTTGAATGAGTGATGTCGGTGACTGGTGGAATGGATGTGGAATCGGAATGGACACCTGTTGAGAAGGAGTAGTGTGAAATGAATGTGTAGAGAGTGAGTGTGTTTTGTATGTGTGGATGATGACGACACAGAATGCATGAGATGAATTGAGAGTAGTGTGATGAGTGATGAGTGATGAGTGAGGAGAAGTGTGCATAATGGGGTGTGTGTATTGGTTGTTATTAGTGAATCAATGTGTGTGTGTTTGTGTGAGTGCGAGAGAGGGAAATAGTGATACATAGATAGTGGATGAGAGTTGTAGACAATGTTTGGATTAGTGGTGTTGCGAGTGATTGACAGACTGGTTGATGGAATTATTGACTTGTTGGTTGAGTGACCGAGGTGGTGACTGAGAGACAGTGTGTGCGTGTGACACACACACACACAGAGTGTGTATGTTTGAGGGAGAGAGAGAGAGGGTGAGTGATTGATTGAATTTGTGAGTGACTGAGTGAGTGAGAGAAGGAGTGAGTGTGTGAGAGAGTGAAAGTGTGATTGGGTGAGTGAGTATAGGGTTGAGGCGTTTGGAAGTGAGAGTGAGATGGTTGGTGTGTGTGTGTGTGTGTGTGTGTGAATTAGATGGTAGTATTTGTGTTGTGAAATGGTCGAGTGATATTGGTCGAATGTTGTTAAGTGTATTGGTTTGTGTGTGTGTATGTGTGTGTGTGCATGTGTTTGCGAGTGCATGTGATTGCGTGTGTGATAGTGAGTGAGTTTTGGGATGTTTATGAGATGTGTTGTGTTATATTGTGTGGTGTGTGTTGTTGCAATGAAAATCGGATACGTACCTGTTTGCATTAGTGTAGACTGTGGTGATGGCTGTGATGTGGACTCTGGTGTGTGCTGTGATGTTGACACTGACACTGACACTGACACTGGAGTTGAGACTGGTGTTTGCAGTGTGGTTGATTCTGTCGACTGGAATGCTGTAGTGGAGATTGTTGGCGTGGTGTCGATCAAGTGCGACGTGGATGTGGTTTGGTCAGACTGAGTTGAATGAGTGATGTCGGTGACTGGTGGAATGGATGTGGAATCGGAATGGACACCTGTTGAGAAGGAGTAGTGTGAAATGAATGTGTAGAGAGTGAGTGTGTTTTGTATGTGTGGATGATGACGACACAGAATGCATGAGATGAATTGAGAGTAGTGTGATGAGTGATGAGTGATGAGTGAGGAGGAGTGTGCATAATGGGGTGTGTGTATTGGTTGTTATTAGTGAATCAATGTGTGTGTGAGTGAGAGAGAGAGAGAGAGATACATAGATAGTGGATGAGAGTTGTAGACAATGTTTGGATTAGTGGTGTTGCGAGTGATTGACAGACTGGTTGATGGAATTATTGACTTGTTGGTTGAGTGACCGAGGTGGTGACTGAGAGACAGTGTGTGCGTGTGACACACACACACACAGAGTGTGTATGTTTGAGGGAGAGAGAGAGAGGGTGAGTGATTGATTGAATTTGTGAGTGACTGAGTGAGTGAGAGAAGGAGTGAGTGTGTGAGAGAGTGAAAGTGTGATTGGGTGAGTGAGTATAGGGTTGAGGCGTTTGGAAGTGAGAGTGAGATGGTTGGTGTGTGTGTGTGTGTGTGTGTGTGTGTGTGTGAATTAGATGGTAGTATTTGTGTTGTGAAATGGTCGAGTGATATTGGTCGAATGTTGTTAAGTGTATTGGTTTGTGTGTGTGTATGTGTGTGTGTGCATGTGTTTGCGAGTGCATGTGATTGCGTGTGTGATAGTGAGTGAGTTTTGGGATGTTTATGAGATGTGTTGTGTTATATTGTGTGGTGTGTGTTGTTGCAATGAAAATCGGATACGTACCTGTTTGCATTAGTGTAGACTGTGGTGATGGCTGTGATGTGGACTCTGGTGTGTGCTGTGATGTTGACACTGACACTGACACTGACACTGGAGTTGAGACTGGTGTTTGCAGTGTGGTTGATTCTGTCGACTGGAATGCTGTAGTGGAGATTGTTGGCGTGGTGTCGATCAAGTGCGACGTGGATGTGGTTTGGTCAGACTGAGTTGAATGAGTGATGTCGGTGACTGGTGGAATGGATGTGGAATCGGAATGGACACCTGTTGAGAAGGAGTAGTGTGAAATGAATGTGTAGAGAGTGAGTGTGTTTTGTATGTGTGGATGATGACGACACAGAATGCATGAGATGAATTGAGAGTAGTGTGATGAGTGATGAGTGATGAGTGAGGAGAAGTGTGCATAATGGGGTGTGTGTATTGGTTGTTATTAGTGAATCAATGTGTGTGTGTTTGTGTGAGTGCGAGAGAGGGAAATAGTGATACATAGATAGTGGATGAGAGTTGTAGACAATGTTTGGATTAGTGGTGTTGCGAGTGATTGACAGACTGGTTGATGGAATTATTGACTTGTTGGTTGAGTGACCGAGGTGGTGACTGAGAGACAGTGTGTGCGTGTGACACACACACACACACAGAGTGTGTATGTTTGAGGGAGAGAGAGAGAGGGTGAGTGATTGATTGAATTTGTGAGTGACTGAGTGAGTGAGAGAAGGAGTGAGTGTGTGAGAGAGTGAAAGTGTGATTGGGTGAGTGAGTATAGGGTTGAGGCGTTTGGAAGTGAGAGTGAGATGGTTGGTGTGTGTGTGTGTGTGTGTGTGAATTAGATGGTAGTATTTGTGTTGTGAAATGGTCGAGTGATATTGGTCGAATGTTGTTAAGTGTATTGGTTTGTGTGTGTGTATGTGTGTGTGTGCATGTGTTTGCGAGTGCATGTGATTGCGTGTGTGATAGTGAGTGAGTTTTGGGATGTTTATGAGATGTGTTGTGTTATATTGTGTGGTGTGTGTTGTTGCAATGAAAATCGGATACGTACCTGTTTGCATTAGTGTAGACGGTGGTGATGGCTGTGATGTGGACTCTGGTGTGTGCTGTGATGTTGACACTGACACTGACACTGACACTGGAGTTGAGACTGGTGTTTGCAGTGTGGTTGATTCTGTCGACTGGAATGCTGTAGTGGAGATTGTTGGCGTGGTGTCGATCAAGTGCGACGTGGATGTGGTTTGGTCAGACTGAGTTGAATGAGTGATGTCGGTGACTGGTGGAATGGATGTGGAATCGGAA